AGGGAAACAAACAAACAAAAGGTTGCTTGGACAGAGATTGGGTGAATAGAGAGGGTAGGATATGGAGGTCATGCCACTTTTGGTTAAAAGCTATTAAACACTCAGTGCCATGTAGGCCGATGCATAGTCAAGGTGGAAGATCCAGTCACCTGTTTGCCATAACTTGGCACGTTTCTTCCACAAATCGTGATAAAAACTTTGGTCAGCCATAGTTTTTATCCTGAAGTTTTAAGAAGGTTGAAGGTGACTGAAGTTTAATAATATAAAAATAAATATGCAATTTTTAATAAGTTAATTCCAGGTTATTTTGGGTTCCCCTGGTACATGTGCATACATGACATATTAATGTTAAACTATAGTGAAAAAGATCTTTGACTAATAGAGGCTTTAACTGCTGTGTTTTTTTATTTGATGTGTATGAGGAGGTTTATTTGGCAGTTTATTGGTTTGAGAAGGTTTATTAGTTGATTTGTATCCATGTACACTTTTCATCTACCTTTGTTAGTATCCAGATGTTTATATTTTGTGACTGTATTTTACTTAAAATATAGGCAGAAGCTTTTTATGTTTGTTGAAATTAGATGGTAGAGTAGACCAAACTTCTGTATTGCTGAGTGGGATTATTAGACTGTGTGTATATAGCCAAGTTATATCTTTAAAATATCTACTGTTTGTATGTAGAAATAGACATTGTTTGATATACACATTTTAAAAAATCTTAACTTTTTAATGAATATAGGTATTAACTTCTTTACCTTTTTGTTAGGAGGGGTGTGATAAAGGATGTTGGATATTTTGTCATATCTTTAATGTACAGTTGACCCTTGAATAATGTGGGTTTGAATTGATTGAGTACACTTATACATGATTTTTTCAATGAACATAGTTGATCTGTTCTATTGGTGGTTTTTGCATCTGCATCCAGACACAGATGGACAATACAATATTGGTGGAATCTGGAACCCATGTTAACAGAACACCTAGGTTTGGTTTCCTTGTCTTCTATGGGACTGACTGACAGACTTGAATTAGTACAGATTTTGGTCCTTGAACCAATTCCTTCATGGATACCAAGGGACAACTGTACAGTCTTCTTCCATTTTATATATATGTTTTTGTGTTTTATAGAGTGTGGATATGAATATATGGCAAACATCATTTTGTTAAACTCTGCTTAACTGGTTAAAATGATTAGCTTTTGCAAAATGATTTTAAGAGCTCTATATTAGTGGGTTGTACTCTATAATTCAACTTTGTAAATATATATACAGTTTGTTGACAAACAAATACAGTGGGTAGAAACAGTTTTCTTTGGATGGTAGATTTTTTCCTCTTTTTGTCTTCATTGTATTGCTTGTATTGTTAAAGACAAATTGTTCATTTTTGAAGTTACATGCTTGCTATTTGTATACTGTTATGATATAGAGGGGAAATGGAGTGTTTTTTGTTACACACTTTTATTTAGAAGTAAAATTAACTTGTAATAATTAAATTATTTGGGCCTATTTTATGTAAACTTAACCTCTGTTTGAAGGGTATACTTTAACCTGATGTACTGAGGATCATGATGCAATTTATTTTTCTTAATATTTTTAAAAAGAATATTTGATAGAATCTTTAAATTACATAGCTTTGTGTTCAGTTGTTGCATGACATAGCTAAGACAACTTTGTAAATAATTGGCAAGTGAAATATTTAATTCCTAACATCTAGAATGTCTAGATGTATTGAGAGTCTCACAAAGTATAATTTTGTAAATATCTTATTGTAAATTTTAGTGCTGTTGTCTTTTTCAATTAATGTGGCAATGAAATTGATCATTGGTAAACATGCTCTTGGAGCTGTGAAAATGTATCATCTTAATTAGAAGGAGAAAATGACTCTACATCTTACAACTTTCTCCTATAGATTTTTTTGGCATTGTATCAGGTATGAATTACATAGTTACAAAAATTGAAATGCTGTGTAAATTTGTTTGATCTTTCTAGATGTACTTTCTGATGAATTATGGTAATTCTTTTACTTTTTTTGTTTTGTTTTTTGCTGTTAGCATACATTCTAGACAATTTATAAATGATTTCATTAAAGATATTTTATACTACCTCTTGGAACTATACAATGTTCTGTATGTGTTCCCTTGGTTGCGTGACAGTATTCAAGACAACTTTGTAAATAATAGATAAAAATTTTTAATTTTTAACATCTAGTCTTTCTAGGTGTATGGAGTCTCACAAAGTATAATTTTTGTAAATAATTCATTGTAAAATTTCATGGTTACATTGTGTTTTGCAATTTTCTTGGAAATGAAATTGATAAAATTGTAGACTTCTTAATCTGTACGCATTTTGTTGTTTAATGGGTTTTTATGGTCAGAAGATTGTTAAAAAGGAGTGTATTTTCCATTTTGAATTATTATCAGAACGAAAAGATTATATTTTAACCATTTTCTGGTGCTTGTATTATACATTTAAAACCTTAAGTCATAATATTGTAGTTATATTGCTGATAGGGCATTATATAAATGTAATTTTATAGTCATTGTGGGAAATGTCTTTTACAAGGAAAATTTTCTTCTACCTCTCAATTGTTGTATACAGTTTTGTGTTTACTTGGACTGCATGACAAAATTCAAAACAATTTGTAAATAACAGATAAAAATGACATTTAAAAGATATATGGCTTTACTAGCTGCATGAGGTCTCGACAAAGTATGCATTTGTAAATATTGTAAAGTATCCTGGTTAAATTGGCTCCTGTGTATGTTTTGGTACTACAGTAGATAACCTGGTCTCTTAGGACTCAGTAACATTTCAGTGTTTGCAAGTAACTGAGGAGAGTGGAGTAGATGACCTCTGTATCTTTCTAATATTAGGGAGTCTCCTTGTCTAAGAAGAATAACAGTTGGTCTTCGTGTACGTTGTTTATTTACTGCAAACAAAGAAACAAAAACACTAGGATATTTTTATCTTTAAATATAAAGAAGACTTGAGAAAATAATTGTCATGTTAAAAATCAGAATGGTATTGAGAGTTAGAAGATGGCTAAAATAATTGTCATTTTTCTATATCCACTCTTAACACATTTTTTTTGACTTTCAATTTTTTTATTTTAATGATGTGTGGGGTACTCTTTACAAATTTATTTGTATATGCATGTGTATTCCAAATGTATATTCACAAGCATCTAAAATTAGTCTTAAGACAAAGATCTGCTAAAACTCAAGGGTATTAAACTTATTCTCACTTTTCTTATTGCTTTACATTTTATTTTTATTTTAAAAATTATGGAAATAGGATTTTATTTCTAAGCTTGCACATGTATTTCGGATCCCACTTACTGTTATGTCTAAAAATTTGCTAATTTTTATGTTAAATAGCAAGCATAATATTTATGTTAATAGAATAATCATTTCCCATATCTCTGTCCATATTTATCCATCTATGAGAACAGAGCAAGTGTAGTTAAATTTTGCTTTTCTGATAGTTTTTTTTTAAAAACTGTTCTGTGACACTTATTTATATGCTATGCATTAATCAGACACAATTGTCAATTGTTACCTATAATGTAGATTGGAAAGATTTCTTATAAAGATCCTATCCAGTATTGATTAAATAGTTTATCTTTTTGAAGAGTAATTTGGCAATGACAATCAAATTGAGAATATGTGAAATTTTTGAAATGATATAATTGGCTACTGGTATGTTATCTATTCTAATTCTCAGAAGTTTATGAAGAAGAAAATATAGGTTGAGTATAAAACCAGTAATACGATAACTGAAATATTCGTCAATAAATGATTATAGCTTATTTAACATTAATGTAAACACTGAAAAAATATTTCACTATGGAAGTATGTTTTATAGACTGTTAAATTGATTTTTTCCTATAAACATCAAGTAGCTGTTTATGAAGATGTGTACATGTGTGTAGTTTTTCTTATAAAAATGATTAATTGCAAGAATATGAATTATACATGGGAATGATTTCTCAGAGTTAAGTAATGTTTTTCAGTGTTATGATTCTAGTAATTATAACCTTCTGTCTGACTTTTTATTACATGTGAGTTAAAATTATAAGATTGTATATCTGCATATTATATGACAAAATCTAGAATGAATGTAATTTATGTGAAAAGAATGTTGTTGGGAAGTACATGTCAAAGTTTTAACAGTCCCGTATAGTGAAATGAGAATAAAAGGATTGCTTCTAAAGATCTGAATTTCAAATTTTTAAAAGTTATTTAAAATGAACATTAAAACAACAAAGAGACAATCGATTTTTGCCTTTCTTCATCCTTGCCAATCAACATCCTGGGAGCATTGGGCTGTTGCATCCAACTTTTTATTCCTGGCAACCATTGTGAATCATTTTTGAATGATCATACGAAGAGCATGTGATTTAGATACTATGCAGCAGTCTTACAGTGAAACAAAGGACATTGGATTACCCAAGGAAAGAAAGCAGAAGATGGAATTTGAGGTAAGTGTCAAATAGTTATATTTTGGTTGAGAAACAGATGCGTGAAAGGAAATAATAAGTGGAAAATTATGTAAAGGGCAAACTGTCATAGTGGCAATGCTTTGGAACATTTCATAGTGCCATATTTGTGGGTACTGACTAAATCAAGATGTTGCAGGATATGTCTGTAGGGATACGTTAGAAGTTATCCTTAATTATTTTGGTGTAAATGGAGAACAGTTTGTTTCCTTCCTTATACAGTGGTTGAGCATTTCTGAATGATTTCCATTAGGTCTTTATGGTTTTATATATTATTCAAAATTAGCAGAAAAATTACTTAAGTATTCTCACCAGTTGTCTAAAAGGCATTACTTAATGGTGATAAAGTGTGAAAAGATTGATCATGGAACTTAATTTTCTCTATTCACTATGCATAACTAGCCAATCAGTTTAACTTATATGTTCTGGTGCTTTATTTGTATCTAAATGTTGCTTTGTTTTGTTTGGATACTGTTTTTCTAAGGTGGTCAAGATAAGAGGAAGACATATTTATAGCTAACCCTAGTACAGGTGAAATCATCAGGAATATGCCCCTTTCTATGGAGTCCTTTATGTGTCTTAACTGCATACCATAGGTAAGAAGACTCTGGTGGTGTTTTGTGACCAGGCTTTGCTTAAACTCAAGAATATAATACTGGTAAAGACATTGTTTTGGGACACCTTGGAGTTAGCTAATGAATTAATCTTTTAAAATATATTTTACCAAAGTACAGATGTGTTTGTCATATGAGTGTTCTTTAATTAATTTATTTATGACCAAATGTGGCAACAACTAATGTGAAAGAAATGCTCAAGTGTCTAAGTATTGGAAATTAATGAAATTGATAATATGTTTCACAGATAGGGTTTTGTGATATGATTAGGGTAAAATTTATCAAAACCAAAGAATTGTGTTGTTGAAAAGAATAAAAGTCATTCTGAAGTTGTAAGTTGACTTTGCTACAAGATTGATAATGAGGAATTGTTTCTAATTTTTTTTTTTAGTTGGAGTCTCTTATCACTCAGGCTGGAGTGCAGTGTGGCTCATGGCCACCGCAGCTCTGACCTGCTGGGTCAAGTGATCCTTCTGCCTCACTCAGCCTTCCAAATAGCTGGAACTTCAGGACTGCACCATCACATTCAGCCATTTTTTTGATTTATTGTGAAGATGAGGTCTCACCAAGTTGCCCAGGCTGGTCTCAAACTCGTGGGCTTAGGCAGTCCTCTTACCTCGGCCTCCCAAAGTGCTGGGATTATAGGTGTGAGCCACTGTGCCCAGCCGACAGAAATTTTTAACAAAAATCAACATGAACATTCACTGTTTTATCACAATGGTGTGTCTTTCACCTTACAGTGTTTCTTCTGTTTCCTTGTCAGGAGATAACAGTTCCAATATGGGGTACTTTTGTCATCTTTGTTTTTAATCTCAAGAATGGCCCTACTGTCAGTGAATGTTCCAGTATTCTCATTCAAGTATCCTTCATTCCTTCAGCAGTATTTCTGTAAGGGCAGTCAAGTGATCATTTGATTGGGGGAGAGACACTTTGATTAGACAGTAGTTGATCTATCCTTTTTTCTCAAACTTGATGATGTTTTGGTGTCAGCCAGTGACATTAAGATTTGGTTTGGGTACATATTGCTATGCAACAAATTATCCTGAAACAGTGACAGAAAATAATCATTGTGTTATGTCCATGGAGTCTGTCGATTCGGACTTCTGACAGTTCTCAGAACAGGTTAGGAATTATATTCTCTCCAAAGTTTCATCTTAGCTTTTATATATTTAGTGTACTTACTGTTATTACTTATGAATTGGACTGAGGGCCTTTTGCTGGAATTTTTAGGCATTGCTATCATATTTCTTTTGTCATGAGAACTGCGTGTAAGATTTCTGTATATGAATGAATGACCTAGAAGTGAATAAATAACCTTAAAAGTACAACAGAAGGATGATGTTGCAGAGGTCAGTCAATATTAGCAAGGTATAAGAAAGAAAGAGGGCCATATCCAGACTCCTGATAGTTACCAAATTCCAAAAGGAATTTTGATCGACATGCTCATTCTTCAAAATAGAATGGATGTTGCATTTCATTTTGCAAACTTCGTTTGATGATACAGTTTGCTTTGTATCATTTAAAAAAATGATTAAAACAGTTTTTTAGTAATGATACAATGATACAGTTTGCTTTGTATCATTAAATAAAATGATTAAAACAGTTTTTTAGTAATGATACAAAGTTTGCTTCTAACCTTTTCCTTTCTTCTTTACAGTGTTTTCTCTCAGGTGATAACTGAAAGAGAATCCATGCCATTGTTTCTACCACCAGTTCCAACAAAACCAAAATATGAATATGGCCTTTATAATGTATGAAGACTCCTCAATTATGTGTATTGCAGTGGACTCTCTTTGCAGATCAGAAGAAGACTGAGAAACCTCATTTTTGAAAAGTGTCCTAAAGAATGTGATTGAAGTAAATTTTATCTGGGCACAATGATTGTTTTCATGAGTATCGTTGGACTAAATTTCAGGAGTTGGAATGACTGAGACAATAGTTGAATGAAGAAGTCAGGATGGTGGAATTATAAGGGCTTCATCTCAGTGCTTTCATAAGTATGAAGTGAATGTATTATAATTTTCACTTTAGTCAGGGTAAATTTAAAACTGATTCAGTAAAATATGGTCTTTTTTAAGAATTCAAAGGATGTAGAATTCTGAAAAATGCAGTATTTTTATTTAAGTGCCCTTTTTCTTTCTAATTCTACTCCCAGTGTTTTTTAAAGAAAATCATTAGATGTATATGTTTCTTTTTTTTAGGATGGTATATTACCTACAGGTTTTTTTTTTTTTTT